CCCACTGCATACAGTTCTTGAGTGGAGACCATAGGAAACCGGACCCTGGCTGGCAGGGTCTTCTTCCTACAGCAGAGCCTAAGCTCAGATCACTTAACAGTTCACACAATGATCCCCCTTTACCTCCCCTGCTCTGATGGCCCACATTGGGAAGAGGTGTGCGAACTTTTACACTGACATTGCAACCACCTGATAGTGAAGGCCACATCCAGTGTCCACAACCCAGGGGTTTCAGGACAACGGTCTTATGAGATTTCCTTGCAACAGCCCCCCTCCATAAAGCAGGCCTCCATGCCAGGCCTATCTCTAGATGTGGCACCTGCTCAAGGGCACCATACCTAGTGGCAGAGCTGGGATCTGAAGCCAGACAGTCTGCCCAGAGCCCACATCACAGTGCCACCACACCAAGAGGCTGCTCACCACACTTCCTCCCTTCAATAAAAAAACCGAAAAAAACCAGATTCCTTAACAATGTGTCTCAAGATGAGATCCAAAGGGAGACTAAGCTATATTTACCTACTTTCTCTCTTTCTCTTTCTCTTTCTTCTTCTCTCTCTCTCTCTCTCCCTCTCTCCCTCCCCCCCTCTCTCTCTCTGTCTCCCTTCCTCCCTCCCTCCCTCTCTCTCTCTCTCCCCAAAGCTGACACACATTTATTGAGCATATACTCAGTGTGTGCTGGTGTTGTGCTAGGGACATAATGACTTATGCAGGTCTCCTTTCCTCCAGCACCTTGTTATCTAGGGAAAGCGACCAGCAAAACATTCTGACCCACTTGTAAGTGCAGAGAGAGAAAGAGGGCTGTGAGTCCCCTCCACAGTTACTAGTATCTACTGACAATCATACTCTCCCCAGCAGTGTTCTCATGGCCCCCAGGGTTTTGCTACAGGAGTCCCTATTATGTGAGTGATGGTTCTATATAAGATTTTGACACTTGCTGCTACAGCAACATTTTAAAGTGAGCAATCAAGTCCATTAAACCTAAGGGCGGGGGTGGGGGGGGTGCGGAGAGCAAGTCCTAATCAAACTTAGTTTCCACACCTTCACTTTCAGGACTGACCTAGGAGAGAAGCCTTCCCAAGACCCCTTTGCAACTCACCTGCTACAACAGAGCCCCCAGCTGCAGAGGGTAGACTGTAACTTCACTGCCTTACATTGAGCCAAAGCTCCAGGAGCAAGCTAATTACACATGCAATTATCAGCTCTCACAGTTCAGAGCCCATCAGCAACTGTGCAGAGAGGCAAAAGACACCCAAGTCCAGAGGCATCTGTGGGAGGCGGTACACAGGTTTGCCAGTGGCAGGGCCCCAGGCCTGTGCCCAGACCTCGAGCGCTCCCCCTACTTGCCCAGAAGTCCTAAGTCATAGCCAGGTACATCTTGCTTTCCCCTCCTGGAATTTCAAGGGAATTTGGTCTACTAATTTCTCTCTGTAAACAAACTTTAATGACACTTGAATTAGAAAATAAATGAGCACAATCCATTACTTCTGGGCCCTCTCTCTTCAGATCCCATGTGACTGGCTGGATAGCTGCCCTTGACTCCTCTTACCTCTGACCTCAGACACCCTGAAGCCTGCAGCCTTGCCCACCTGCTGGTAAAGTGCATCATTTATTTGGCACCAAAGGGCCTGAGCCATTGTGGTTCACAGAGGGATAGAGCCTACTGCCCTTCTGAAAAGAGAACTCAGAATGGGAGGGGGCAGGCAGACAGCACCCAGCAGCCCTTGGGACACACCCAAATCTGGGCAGAAGGAGAGGAGCCCAAACCCTTTATGCTCTTATCTGCAGTCCAAAATTCATGGGCAGGTTCAGTTCCTCTCTGCCCAGGTTCTGAGGCTCTTACTCCTCTGCAAGCAAACGAGCACCAACCACTGCCCAGCCCAGGAGGAGGAGAAAACAGGAGAGCAGAGAGGAAATGGTGGAAACACGCCTGTATCCATGGTGTGTAACTATGGGCAGGTGCTATCAGTAACATGATTATTTTACAACTGGGGTCAATTTCTCGGGAACTGGGTTCCTGGTGCCTCTGAAGTTGAGCCATTTGCATCCTTCAGGACAGGGATCCTGGGGCGTGCCTCACACAACATTTTCCAGGCCTTTCCCCAGAGCTGTAACTCTATCTCTACCACTTGCTTTGAGAAAGAAGAGGAGGAGGATTTGCTGAGAAT